GGTTATTAAAAGGCCAACGTTCTTCTTTGGTTTGTTTTTAATGGTTATTAAAAGGCCAACGTTCTTCTTTGGTTTGTTACAGATATGTTTAACCCTGGAAGCAAAGACCTGCTGGACATTCCGCCTCCTCCATCGATGCAGCTGGTTCCTCCTCCTCCGGTTGCTCTGTCAGCTTCGCCCTCTATAGATGAACTCATCCAGCAAAGCCAGTGGAATCTGCAGCAACAAGAGCAGCACCTCTACACTCTCAGACAGGTAGTAAAACAAGGAGAGGCCCCGATGTTTCTGGTCAGCATCAGGGATGGTATGAAACTCTGCCTTCATGGCGTTAAAGACGCATATTGATATGCTTTGATGTAAGCTGCTTGTTTTAATGAGCTTTCGGCTCCGTTAGCTTCACAGATCTATGCTTGCAATTAGTAACAGACTAAAGTATGGGTGTGGGGAAAAATAGCTTTGGCGATATATTGGGATTTTTGGCTGACCTATATAATATCGATTCTTCAGTTCCTGATATTGATTTAAAAAAACAAAACCTTTTAACCTAAAACAATAAGAAAAAAAAAAGGATTCTTTTCTGTCTGTTCTTTTCTGTCACCACTGGCTGCATTTAATCAAAACGTTGTCTTCAGGAGCAAGTGACGGCCGCCATCGCCCTGGCAATGGAGCAGCAGATTCAGAAGCTTCTGGTAGAAACTCAGCTGGACATCACCGAGTTTGACAACCTGCTGCAGCCCATCATCGACACCTGCACTAAAGACGCCATCTCTGTAAGCCTCACATGCTGCGGGTCTGCAGGGCGTCTCCGTTTGGCTCCCGCATCCTAACTCTGATGCTCTTTCTGCTCTCAGGCCGGTAAAAACTGGATGTTCAACAACGCCAAGGGTCCACAGCATTGTGAACTGATGGCGTCGCATCTCCGGAACCGCATCACCATCGACGGCGCACACTTCGAGCTCCGCCTGCACCTCATCTATTTAACCAACGATGTTCTCCATCACTGGTAGGGTTTCATGTTAACATTATAGTATATAGCGCCTAATCTAAAGAAAGAAACTACTAAAATGTAGATAAACATGGTTTAATCAGATTTACGGCTCTGATGTCCCATGATGAAAATGGAAAAAGCATCAAAATTGTCTCGGAGAAGTCATAAAAGAAGTTAAAGATGTGTATTAGCCTTCTATTGTGATTTAAGGTTAGAAATAAGTTCTCTTAGAACCATAATTGCATTATATCTGGTTGCTAATGTGAGCCGATGGTTTGGATCGGGTAGTTGAACCCCGAGCATTATCCTGTTTGCTGTCATAATGCAGAGCAAGCCGCCTGTGCTGCAGCAGACGATAAACCTTTCATTTCCGTCTAATAAACCTTTGAATCCATATTGCAAATGAAAAGTGCAAAGCTGCTGCGAATCCTGAACTAAATTGGAAAATTAATTGCTAGATGGCAAACAACTAACGTGCGTTTATGTCACCAATCGCAGTGGAGTGGGGAACTAAATGGCCTAAATGTATTTTCCCTGTTTCTGTAAAAAAATTCCCAAGTTTCTTCCTCCCAGCTATACTATCTCTCTATGCTGCTTTGACAGACAGACAAAAAAAAAAATGTAATCTCCTTTTAGTGGGAAAAAAGTAATCAAGTATTCACCCCAGGTAAATAAACGGAGATGGATGGATTTCACTCAGTCGGCACATTTATTCATATCTTTGCAAAGAGAGAACAGATCATCATAGAGCCCTAATGGCACAGCAGATAATATCCTTGTGTAATCGATATTTAAATAAGGAATATTAATGACTAGAAAAAAACTAAGAAACTAAAATTGTATATATATGTAAAGAAAGCTAAAAACTAAGAAAAAAAAAAAAAAAAAAAAAAAAATAGAGGCTGGACTGGAGACCTGTCCACCCTGGACAGGTCTCCAGTCCATCGCAGGGCAACACAGAGACACACAACCATTCACACTCACACCTAAGGATAATTTAGAGAAGCCAATTAACCTAACAGTGTTTTTGGATTGTGGGAGGAAGCTGGAGTACCCAGAGAGAACCCACACATGTTCAAGGAGGACTTGCAGAATCTTTGCAGAAAGACCCTGACATGATCATGATAACTAAGATATGTTGCCAATAAATAGAGCCCTGGAATCACATCCTAGTTGTCAAAAACATTTAACCATTTTTATTATTTTTATGGTAAACCATCTATTTGCTGAATTTTTAGTTCTTATCATCAGTTACCCTTTTTGTTTTCCTGGAGAGAGAAAAGTTCAAATCAGTCAAAACATTAGACTCCATCATCTCTCTAAAGGGTAAGTCAAATTATTAATCAGAGTTTATTTAAAACTAAAAAAGGATCAATCTCTATGCAAAATGTTAAAATCATAAAGATGTTTCACACAGATTCAGTTCAGCTCTTCAGAATCAGGCTCAGTCAAAGCACACATTGAAAAGTTGGAGGATTTAATCTCAGCGCTCCTCTTTCCCAATGGTGGCTGAGATGACCTGATCATCAGAGTTCATTCTCTAATCCAGAAATCTCTGCCAATACTGACCATCAGCCATCAGCTGCTCATCTAACACTATTAAGAAACTAATATCAAACATGTTCCCATTTCATTAAAATACAACACATTAAAACCCATTTCCTTCTCATTCATGTTGTATAATTAAATAATCAAAAAGCCAAAGCTGATGTCAGACATCTTCAGGTGGGCGTCTTCATCTCTCTGTTGATGTTGGTCCCTTATACAGGAACATGGTCTGCAGAGCAGCTGGTCCTCAACACATCAGATGGACTACTGATGTGTTAATTAACCAATCAGAGGGGATTATTCTGCCCCTTTATTCTGATTTGCTTTGTTGAAGCTTTTCCTGGTTCCTTCCTGATGAGCTCAGATGAGCTCTGATCACTTTCTTTGATGACTTTGAGCCTCATCAGAACAAATATGTTCTGTTGAAGAAAAACCATAAAGTTTCAGTCATTTTAACCTCCAGATATATCTGAGCTATGGATTCATTGAGAATAGATCATTTTAAAGCCTCCATCATTCATCTTAATGTAGGAATTAAATTCTGTAATTTATCCTCTGTCACTTTCATCATTATTATTATTATTATTATTATGAAATATTATTATTATTTCCAGTGGAGTCATTTGAACACCGTATAATTATTAACAAATACTTATGTTAAGTACATTTGCTTATTTATTCCAGATCAGCTTAACATAAATTTTCTTCTTAATGAATTGTCAGTAATTTAAAAGCAAATTCAACCGGCCTAATTTATTTTTATACAAATTATTTGGCTCTACACCTATAGATTTATTTAGCCTTGAAAAGTTAAATCCTAACCTTAAATTATTAAGGTTAACAAATTTAACTTTAGCATTTAGCATTTAAATAATGACACAGTTCTTTGAATATTTGAAGAAATGCCCAATTATTGTTAAACAGACAAAATCTGGTCATTTGTTGAATCTGTTTAATTAAACGTTAAATAAGGAATAAAGGTGATTGATATAAGGTTCGAATATTACAGCAAATAAACAGCTGTGCTTTAAGTTTTAACACATTTAACTCCTGCTTTGTTTTGAAAACAGGTTTCACAGTTTAACCTTAATTATCCGGTTTATTGTAGATTAGACTATGACATCATCTGGTGCTTTGTAGGAAAGCCAATAGGGACTTTATTGCTGAGGAGTTTTCAAACAGCAGCACCAAAGTTGATCTTTTTTTCCAAAACATGATGAGAGAACAATTTAGCAGCAGTCCGTGATGTTAAGGTTCACCTGTGCTTTTATTGTGAAATGCCAATAGGAAATGACATGGGGTTGCCAGGGGTAACGGCCGGAGGAATTGCTGCAGAAACTTTTAGACTGCATTAGAAGTTTTACACCTTCTGTCAAAGACTACATGATTGTTTTTAACACTTGAACAAACTAAATGGATTTAAGGAGAACTAATATTACTGCTTTAAATCCGGTCCAATCCTGGTTCTGTTGATTTAAATGAGCTTGTTTCGGTGCTTTCAGTGTGATCATGTCGATACTTTCTCCCAGCCAGAGGAAACAGCAGAAGGATTTGCTGACGGCGTTGCAGAAAGTGGTTGTCCCCATCTACTGCACCAGTTTCCTCGCTGTAGAGGAAGAGAAGCAGCAGAAGATCACTCGGGTAAACGAGTCAATCATTAATAATCATTTTATCAGTCTGGAATTCAGCTTTAATGGCTCCTGATTGTTTTTGTTATCCCTTCTGCTAACGACAGAAATGCTGCGGCTAGTTTTAAACCAAATGATCCTTTATTAGATGAAATGTTTGGTTTCAGGGATAAACTTTGAATATGAATACCTGCTGTGGCATTAGTCCCGTAGAGTCACACTTTTTTATTTACACAGCTATGAAAAAGTATTTGAAACAAGTTTTAGAAATTTAAAGCCCAATTTCAAAGGCGTGTGGATGAGACACCATAACCTGACTCTGCCAGATGGATTTGCTCCGCATATCCATCTGGAAACCTTCCGTTGAAGTAATTTTGGGAAGGGGCAAAAATACTGGTTAGCTGATTGGCCTATGTTGGTGATAGACGGACCAAATAAACCAATCAGATCAATGAAGCATATGACGTACTAACAGCCAGGCTACTCTTGCCGAAACCAGTCGGGAGAAGAGCAAAAACATCTTTTCCTCTGAGAAAAGCCTCCAGAGCAGTGTTTTGCTCTTCTTTCAGTCAAGAAATACTCTGTAATTCCGATAAAAATTGCTCCATAGCCACGCTAACGCTAGTTTCATCGGCTGAAGCCGCCGTGTTCTTTAGACTGAACTGTCGCGCCTCAAAGCCAACGCTGATTGGACGTTCGTTTGGTGAACGGCTCCAAATTTTCTTTAAAGGAGAGTCTCCAGACTGATCTGCGAGTGAAACCTTGAAAGCTCGCGAGATCAGGATGGTCTCACGAGGCTAGAAACACCATGTAACTGTGTTTTAGTCATTTCTGTAAATAGAAAACATGAGCAGGTGTGAGTTGGGCCTGGTACCGGGCCTGTCGGCCTTAAGGGGTTAAGAAACTCCAGAAGTCCACCAAACCCAGACTTTCGTCTCCACATTTTAAGATCCAGAACTTCTCTGTAAAAAAATTCCGTTTTTATTTATTTCTCTTTGAATCTACAGATTGAAAAGTTTTAAATGGAAAATATTTGGCTGATTCCAGTTCTCCCACTTTGAAAATCAGCGTTCTCTGTCTGTCTCTACATCCTGTTGTGTTTGTAGTTGCTGCAGCTTTGGGAGAAGAACGGGTATTTTGATGAGGAAACCATTCAGCAGCTGCAGAACCCGGCACTGGGCCTGGGACAGTACCAGGTCTGTGAGAACGCCTCAGTCACTCTATGAAGGAACATCTCCTCAGTTTGCAAGCTGATCTAGAACTGAAGGAGCTAAGTTTGTGTATAGAACTAGTTTTTCCATTTTGTTTATTTTGAGGAGTGAATCCTTGCCCATCTAGCTACCTGTGCTGGCTTCCTGGAAGTGATGCTGGCTTCCTGGAAGTGGTGCTGGCTTCCTGGAAGTGGTGCTGGCTTCCTGGAAGTGGTGCTGGCTTCCTGGAAGTGATGCCGGCTTCCTGGAAGTGATGCTGGCTCTAATATGTTTGGCGCTCTGGTTTTCAGGCGTCCCTGATAACGGAGTATGCTGCCGTGGTGCAGCCCATCCAGCTGGCCTTCCAGCAACAGATCCAGGCTTTAAAGACCCAACATGAGAAGTTTGTTGTGAGTCTGAAGCAGCAGCAGACGGGTCCTGTAAGACCCGCAGCAGCCCCCTCTGAAGCTGATAAACCTCCATCCTTGGCGCCACCTGCTGGTAAGAGAAACACTTGAATGGCTTCAGCTCTAAGGAGGATTACATTTTAAAATCTCTCCAGAATTCCTGCTGCTTGCTAGATGAACACAATGGGGTTAAGATGTGGAATAATAAAATGAAAGTAATAAATCTTGGCCACATGCGCTCAGTTTTTGTCTCCTCCTGTGGTCTGCAGGGGAAGTAAAGCCTCCTGTGATTGGTCCTCCCTCAGCGGACTTTGAAGTTGCTCCCAGATCACAGGACTCCAAAAACGCCAGTGGACCATCGGATATTCCCGCCAACAAGCCTGCCTGGTTTGAATCGCAGCACGTCGGACCCTGGAACCCCAACCAGCCGGTAAAAGTTGATCCGATCTGTGATTCCATTTCCTGTTTTCAGAAATCTGGGCTGAGCTTCTTCTGGAAGAAAACTGGAAGACTGTCCTGGTTAAGGATCCTATTTAGGAGAACTGAGATGGTTCCATTGAAAAGTCACTTTATCCACCAGGCTGCATGAGGATAAATCTTTATAATAATACACACAGGGACATTAGGAATTTATTGGATTTATTAAATGGATGTAAAACAAATCTAGGTGAATGAATAACTATTAACTGCATCTGTCCAGTGCTCATTGTGAAAGAAGAAGACTTTACTCTGGACAAACCAACAGTATTACATCATCCTTATTGAAAAGAGACAACGCTGTAGCCGGGTAGCGATTTCACTACCTGATCAGTACGGGAACCACGATCCGTGGGGGAACCACGATCCGTGGGGGAACCACGATCCGTGGGGGAACGGGAACCAAGATCTGTAGGGGAACCGGAACCACGATCCGTAGAGAAACCACGATCCGTAGGTGAACCCGAACCACGATCTGTAGGGGAACGGGAACCACGATCCGTAGAGGAACCACGATCCGTAGGGGAGCCGGAACCACGATCTGTAGGGGAACGGGAACCACGATCCGTAGAGGAACCACGATCCGTAGGGGAGCCGGAACCACGATCTGTAGGGGAACGGGAACCACGATCCGTACGGGATCCACGATCCGTAGGGGAACCACAATCCGTAGGGGGACCACGATCCGTGGGGGGACCACGATCCGTAGGGGGAACCACGATCCGTAGGGGAAGCGCAATCCTTACAATAGGCTCATTTGTGCATATGAAAGCAGATATTTATCCAGGCCGCCATAAATACTGTAATTATTGTTCTAAAATTACTTATTTATGTCCTTAAATCACTAAAAAATGCTAAAACAGATCTTTAAAAAAATGTTGACTTTTCTGAGTCAATTTTCATGCCTTTGGCATTTTGTCCGTTAAACTGCTTGTCTGATGGCCGATGCTCAGAGCAGTCGGTAAATCTGATTAAATCATGTTTATCTGCATTATAGTTGTTTCTTTCTTTAGATAACGCACTATATAGCATCATGTTAACACGAATGGAAAACTTCAAACTCAGATTTATATTTAAATCCAAAACCGTTTTTGTTTCTTTGTGTGTGAATATTGGATAATATTTGGTTAATTTTAGTGCAATTAACCTTTAACACATTATAGTTTAGTACGCTTACTGTTTCTGGATTATCCAGGTCTAATAATAAGGGAAGTTGGCCTAATAGTTAGGGCATAGAGCTGGAATGCTGAGGTTCTGGGTTTGATTCCCACTCCCACAGCCTGCCACTCTGGGTTCCTGAACCCTTAGCCCCACACTGCTCCTCGGGCGCCGCACAGTGGCCGCCCACTGCTCCCTAAGGGGAGGGGTTAAATGCAGAGAGGGAATTTCTCCAAAGTGAGATCAATAAAGTTAAATTTTTATTATTAATATCATTTAGGTATTTTTTTTAAAAGTTAAAGCAGAGGGCGGCCTGGATGGTACGGACCGTGCTTCCGTAAGGATCCACTAGGGACACGTGGTTTAGCCTAGAAGCGTTTGCTCTAACCGTGTTTGGAGATATAAAGGATGAACCTGCACTTATTCTACTGACCTGATGGTAACCTGCAAAAACGGCCACATTTTGCTCTGGTCTTTTTCTTTTCAACGAAAGCAAATATCTGCTTGGATCTGTCTGGATTTCCACATCTGTCCTTCCTTTTCCAGCCTCCCTTTGACCCGAACCAGCCCCCTCCTCCCTGCCCCCCCTGGAACAGCCATGAGGGAATGTGGAATGAGCAGAGGGAGCCAGGGAACTGGAGCGGAGGTCCTCTGAGAGACGGGGGCCTGTGGAGTGGGCCAGGAGGCTCTGAGCCTGGCCCCCCATCTTGGAACTCGTTTGACCAGCAGCCCCCGTGGGGGAATCAGAGCGACCAGCCTCCATGGGGTCAAAGAGAGCCCCCATTTCCTCCACGGATGCAGGTATGGTTAGCCTCCATGTTGCTCGTTAGTGTGGACGGTATGAAGCGGGCCTCACACGCTGGTAGAATAAACCTTTGCTGTTATTTTCTGCCTGACATTTTTTGTACGACTGTTTTTCTTCCAGAGACCGCCCCATTTCAGAGGACCATTTGCGCCGCACCAGCAGCACCCCCCTTTTAATCAGCCCCCACCGCCCCCGCACAACTTTGGCCGATTCCCGCCCCGCTTCGTGCAGGACGACTTTACTCCCAGACATCACTACGAAAGACCCCCGTACACGTCACACCGCTTCGACTACCCTCAGGGAGAATTTCCCGGAGGTTAGTGAGAACACAAAGCCCCCCCCCCCCGTTATAATCGAAATGTTTTATCTTTAATAAAACCAAGAGCTGTGTTTGCTGCTAGACATGCCCGGGCCTCCCCTTCACCACCACCCCAATCAGCGGATGCCTCCACCAGCCATCGGCGGCGAGCATCCACCCTGGGGCGCGGGCCAGCACCAGGACTTTGGCCCGCCGCAGCACGGCTTCAATGGCCACTCGCCTCAAATGCGCCATCGACAGCATCCCGTCCAGGACGACCCAAGTCTGGTTCCCAACGTGCCCTACTTCGACCTGCCAGCCGGGCTCATGGCTCCACTGGTCAAAGTGAGTTAGTTCTGGGTTAATGGTAACTAGAATCTCTCCTGTCCTCTGGTGACGCAGCCTCAGGGATAGTCACTACTGAGGGAGTTTTTTTTTTTTTTACAAAATAAACAGAATTACAACAAAAAAGCATCGATAATCTAAAATAGAAAATAAGTCATGTATTGAGAGAAGGCTTGTTTAGAATTTAACCTTTTAACATCCTCCTTTTTTCAAACCTTAAAATCCTTTCTTGAACAGCAGTAACAAAGACATGCTTGAAAGTAGGCAGGTGTCATTGTTCCCTAAAGCCGGGCGTAAACCGTACCATTTTATCAATCGTACCGTGTCATCGGACACGCTCAGAGCGGTCCAGCTAAATCTGATTAAACCATGTTTATCTGCATTTTAGTGGTTTATTTCTTTAGATTGCGCACTATATACCAGCATGTTAACACGAAAGGAAAACATTAAACTCACTTTTGTTTTTTTTTTGGTGAATATTGAATGAAAATCAAGTTTAACCTGAAGGTTACTCTACTTTAAGTTAATTTAAAGGCACACTATGCAACATTTTTCAGTTAATTAATGTGTTCCATAACGTTTTGGATGATTAAATGATTCATTTCAGGTTGAACAAAGGTTTTCTCGGCCGCCCTGGTGGTCTGTGGGGGAAATACCGTACTTGCAATTGCAGGAGCCCTCGA